CTTCCTTGGCGAAGAAATTTGGAATACCTAGTAGTCACTTTTCGTTATCTTTCGAAAAATAGGCTGTTCATCATTGATTATATTCGGCATCGACAGTCTATCGTTGGTAGACGCGACGCATTCCGCTTCCATCTTGAATGGTAACTGTAACAGAAGGCGACTTGGTCAATGGTTTGTGCGGACGGTCAAAGGTCATGAATTTTGTCCCTAGCTAAAAATCCAGTTTCAATTAACCAAACTAGGAGAGAAAGAAATTACCGGTGAGGTGAGCTCAGGGAAGACTCAAGCGAAAATCGAATCCACGGACCGTGCGAACGGGAAGTGGTGATACTTGCCACTTCAACACCTCCACCTCACACTCCTTCGTCTCACGATCAGAAAATGATCAAAAGTACACATAAATTTCATGTACAGCTGAGCAGCAGCCGTGATGGGTCGAAAGGGATCATTCAAAATATGGTGAGAAATTGTCTGAGCGTAACCTCTCCCCTCCCCCCAGCGACAATGGCTCGTCAATGGCTCATAACGTCTGGTTTCTGTGTCTTTCTATCCATTACTGCTATCAATGATGCCAGTGGAATCACCCTGATCCTTGGCAAGGTTGTCCCATAAGTAGTGTCGTCTTTTTTGGATGGAAAATTTTCCTCTAAATCCCATATACGATGTCATAAGCATTAGCAAAGATTTGTCTGCCCCAGAAAAAGTTCTGTTTCGCTCCTACGTTCCTACAGAGATTTTAAATTTTAGGCTGCAAAATTAGACAAAAGTAAGGTAAACGGACAACTAGCTCCAACTCTATTTTGTTTCTAGGACCCCTGGGAAAAGCCGACCAATTATTTACCTTCAACTCGGGGAAATTTTTCTTCGGAGTAATGAGGTCATTCTCGTGGACTGGACACCTCATCACACAGGCCTAAAATTCGTCCTAATCGCAATGAAAATTCAAACAAAACATATGAACGAATAGAGCCGAAGCTCCAGGTGATATATCAAGTGATGTGAAACAATTGGGTTTCAGAGGAAAATTCAGGTAAAAACCGCGATGGTTTAGCGGTCAATCAGAAAAAACCCATTCGGAGAGCCGGGGGAGGTCACGACTAAGTAAAGCGAAAATATTGCTTGATTTTTCCTGGGCTAATGGCGGTTTAGCTGATTTTCAGCGACTGGACCGCCCGTTTGGCAGGCCCAAAAATTCAAAGTGTTTTCTGTAGTTGTAAAAGCGAAACATGACGATTTATAGTCCAGATCAATCTCGAACGGCAGTTGTATTTTTTATAAAAAACGGAATATTAGCAAAAATTGTTTGGTGAAAATATACGACTCCTTATGGAATAACCTAATATTATATGTATCTGCCGCGAGAAGCCGACGTCAACTTTATACTAGGTCTTTTCGGATAAATCCAGCCATTCCAGAATACGGCAGTATCAAAATGGCAAACGCGAAAGATACCCGTGCAGCATTCTCGGGTCTTATCGATAAACCTGTGCTCACTGATGAGCTGCTCGCTCGTCCTCCGTTCAGGTTCATTCTGGACATTGTGTCGTCGACAGCCGCAAAAACTGGTTATTTACGAGTAAGTTAATATTGAAAACGAACTTATTGTACCACATTGCTCCAATTTCTCATGTTTGTGCTTCCTGTGAATCTTCTTTTTTCAGGATCGCTTCTCTGTGGAGGCCCTGAATCCTGCCAAATTCAAAGAGAAAGCCGACAAAACTGCGTTTCTCGATTCGCTGATTGAAGCTGTCAATGATGGCTCGTTGCCTACAATTAAATCGGCGAAAATAGTTGCTGGCAAGGAACCGGAATTGACAAACATGGTGAACCAGCGTCACTTTTTATTATTTATATAGGTATTTATATATGCGTTCATGAAATCGCATCATTAGAGGTAGCACATTAATCAGAAAAAGCCTTATGAGGCCAATGTAAGGGACCTCTGCGTTCATGATCATCTCTTTAGCGTAATCGGCATCTCAAAAGACCGCGGTGGGTGTGGAACCAAGCGAAGTAACTCTTTCTGTTCTTTTACCACCTTGACGAACTTAGCATTCTGCCTTGTTTGACCAACCCGGACATGCACAATTTGAAACCGAAAAACAAAGACGGCATGACACCCTGGGGCACCACTTTTGCACACCGCGTTGGCGCGATACGCCGAGGTACCGTCATCATCAAGGTGCTAAAGGCGATTTCTCCAGTGGGATGGGTGCGACAGCCCCTTTGACAGTAAGCTGAAATTTTTCACAACCGTGGACATTACGCCGATTTCACGACTTGGGCGTGAGCGACGATATGTGGGCAGCTAGGCTGCATTAGCTGCGATAAAACAATTACTTTATAGAAGGCGCTAAGGTTTATTTAGTTGTTGCTTGCTACAGAATCTTGGCATTAGGTGGAAATCACTCAGAAAGACTGGATCAAGTAGGGAATGGGTTATGCAGAGGCTGAAAATGTACAGAGCACTGAGCGGAGGCCCGCCCAGTTTGGTTGATT